CCGCCAATACTGATAATTCCTAAAAACCGCTGGCATGATCTGGATAAACCAGAAGCAAATCTCTCCTTACGTCGTCGGGAGGTCAGCGGTTTGGAACTGTTTCCGGAACATAATTTTACTTGCTGCGAAGGTCTCTCGCTTTTCCATAGTCTACTTATTGAAGGGGAAAACTTGCAATGAAATATTCCCTTCGCAACATTTACACTCAATTCTTCAGAGGTACTAGTTTTTCCTGAGTATTGTTTCCTAATCAAAATGCAACCACTTGGGAGTTTTCTGGATTGTAATCGCAATACAGACACCAAATGTTAATTGGGGGAGACAAACGACTGTTACTTTCATGTTACTTAACATCATCCATTACAGTCAACCAGCCGAAAGCCCATTGGTAAAAGGCTTGACTGTATCTAAAAGTCCGCGGATTTCCGCAATCTGATTTCGAGATTGTATTAAAACTGTTTCAGTAAGACACCTATTAAAATTAAAATTGGTAGGGTTTAGGTTCAAACTCAGACCCCATTTTGAAGGTGACAATGCTCTTTTTTCTCTCCCTACCGGATACCTTCACAAGATACCCTCCCTGCAGACGAAGGCAGCCAATAAATGTGAGAGTAAACTTTTGTCACTTGATAGATTATTATTTCGGTGAGATAAGCTTGGATTTTGCTCCCGTGTCTAGTTAAAGTACGTCAATTTTCTAGACGTCTGCGACACAAAATTATCTTTCATAGCATGCGGCCTTTTCGCCTGTCGCAAGAAATTTCCGTTTAGAATGAAACATGGGACCTCGGCTCACGGAAGAACACATCGACAGTTAGCTGCCGGTTCCAGTAATCTCATTCGGGTCCACACGATTACGTTCCTCAGGAAGATGTAGTATGGTTGTTGGTGTTTTATGCTGGTGGTTGTCTTGGGGATACTTTAAATGCGGTATCGAACACAACAACGGCTACTAAATTGGCAATAATCAACTTAGTAGATAGTATTGCCGGCAAAGACAAAAGAGACTGGAATGGCCATTTCTGGCTTATATGCCGTCATAAGCCGGTCATAATCGACTCCAAGTTGTGCATCACCCAAGGCTCGAACTCGAAAACTTTTCGATAAGAGTCTAAAGCTTTTAATCATTGAGCCATGAGTTTGTTGTCTTGCCAGCTTAGTTCAAGAAATATTGATACTCGTTGACTCGTTGATGTCAGGGCTCGACAAAGGAGATCTAAGGCAGAGCGGGACAAGTGAGTTCCGTTAGTGCTCGGTGGAAGTTCATCAACAAGAATAAATTTATTCTCCATCCTATCAAATTGATTAAGTTTAAAATAAGTTAAGTATCCTGAAATAGGTCATAAACAGCATCAAATCGAGTTCCAGAGTGAGCACATACAACTGCTGATCTTTGAAACGAACTTATTTAAACTGGAGTTAGTTTCAGAGTGGTCGACTGTGTCCTTTGTATCATTAACATAAATCTTACCTCAACAGCGTTCTGCAGAAAATACGAATGTATGCTAGAACCAAAATTAGTGATCTGGCCCATAGTTCGGCATATGTTCGGGTGATAAACAATGTTTGGTTTATCATGAGCACGAAGAGCTTTAGAGCGAAGACTCTATAATCTGTCATTTAACCAGTCAGGCTAATAGAATTGAAGACGGGCTTTAGTTGCAGTCTCAGCAACTTGACCGCTTGGAAGACTATTGCTCAAACCCTGATGGGAAGGCACTTTTAGCATGAAATGAAGTGCAGCCTCTATCCGTGAGGCTTCAGCCTAGTAATACGCTATTCTGTCCTGGGGGTTCAAAGGTTCTTGTGAATTCTGCGACATTTTGCTCTGCGAGTTTCGGAACAGCAAGACTGTAGTTGACGCTCTACGTACAGACTGTAATCACAACACACGAGTACACTTCAGATGCATCTAGAACGTGAGTTTGGCTATGGCTTGAAGACCGATATGAGCACCCATAGAAATAATCAGGAAAGTCGTTTAACTATGCCTATAAAGATTAGTCCTA